TGGACTAAGGGTCCAGATGGATTTGAAATAAGATTTTGGAATTAATTATAAGAATCCTTCCTGTGGGAAAATGCTTTAGTTCTGAATTCTCTTTAAAAAATGAGACTTTGAAGGTTGGACACTAGAGGGAACCAGAAGGAACTAAAGATTACAATTAAAGGAGAACAACACTTACTAATACAGAATGGAGCAAAACATTAGACATATTGAAGGATATTTTTGAACAATGGACCCAGAAGTTGATTTTAAGAGTGTCTGCCTCTATAGATAGACTGTGTTTAAAAGATGTTATGGAAGAGGAACAAGTTTTACTGTCTGAAAGACATATTGAAGGATATTTTTGAACAATGGACCCAGAAGTTGATTTTAAGAGTGTCTGCCTCTATAGATAGACTGTGTTTAAAAGATGTTATGGAAGAGGAACAAGTTTTACTGTCTGAAAGTGGATTTAAAAATGACAGGCTGCAAGAATGATGTGGAAAAGGATCCTACACTAGACATACAAATGAAACTGGCTGATGTCTTAATAATTAAAAGGGATATACAAATAACATACCAAAGGAGTGACCTGAATAACTTTCCTATATTCGTTCATCACCGAAGACAAATTCCTTGTATATATTTTATACTTGGCCATTAAAGTATTCTGTATTCTGTATTGGATTTACAAAACAGTCTTGTTAAAGCTTTGAAGAATTTTGTGAGAAGGCACAAAGAAAAAATGAAAAGGAATCAAGTTCTAGGACATTATTTGAAGGGACTAAAGATCAAGATTGTTAAAAGTAAAAGGAAGGAATATAAATTTGGTTTATTTGCTCAAGGACATTATTTGAAGGGACTAAAGATCAAGATTGTTAAAAGTAAAAGGAAGGAATATAAATTTGGTTTATTTGCTCAAGGACATTATTTGAAGGGACTAAAGATCAAGATTGTTAAAAGTAAAAGGAAGGAATATAAATTTGGTTTATTTGCTCAAGGTTAAAACAGATAAGTTATCTCCGGTAACCCTTAATGGATTTTGCTGACATCAGGACTGAAATGATGAGGCTTTATGGATTTCTTTATAGATAAGATTTATGGGAAGAAGAGTTCATTTCTTGTATCTTAAGAAAAGGTGATAAGTTACTAAAATTGCTTATACTACTTATGATGACGGGGGAAGTCATTTCTTTATATTATCTTTCCTTTTTCTTTACTATATTCTTATTTTTTCTTTTCTATTTTTCTATTTTTTTCTTTTCTGCACTATTTTTTCTTTTTCTTTTTGTTTGTATTTTTATCTTTTTAATTGTAATTTTTAATAAAATTACTATAAAAAAGCATGCGCAACAGGAATTATATAAAATAGAACTGAATCAGAGAAACTAGAGGAGGAAATTCTGATTTAGTTCCAATATAATAATAATCTGTTTTGGGATTATATACAGTAAATGAGCCTCAGCAATGAGCATTCCCTCCCCTCTCAACTTCCTTCACTTCTGCTTTTATTAATTGTGGTTTATAGCTATATCTGAACCTAAATAAACCGTTTGCTTAAAAAAAGATGACAACTTAAAGCTAATTTGTTTCCATAAGCAGAGTTAGGACTAACCAAGGATCCCTCTATAAAATATAATTAAAATATTAATTGCTGTATCATACTTATGCTTGTTAAAAATTGAAAATAATTTGTAGTTAGTAAACATACAATACTGTAAAAACACTGAATTTTGCTGCCATTTATATATGCTTTTAATATTTTTATATTGTGCTTTTAAACTGTTAAAGGATAGTAGGCACAGACTCTGCATGTACAGCTCAGAAAACACTATACTGTGTTTTCTCTACAAGCTATACATAGCATAGCACTACAGGGAAGATGAATGCATGGTTAGCTAGAGGTGGTTTGATAATAACACCAAGCAACAGTTTTTGTGGTATATGAATGAACAACCTTGGGATCACATGCTTTCTCTTGTGTCTATAATTTCCTCCTACCAGCCCTATTTGCAGCAGACAGGTTTGGACAAAATGTTTTGCCTCCCAATTGAATAGGAGGGAATATATCAAGAGAGGAGCAAACATACATGACTACTTTGTATGTCAAACAACATGTCAAGTCACAAAGTTTCATCAACAGCTGCTCTGGTAGCTGCTCTTCTCCCTGCCTGAGTGGAAAATTGTACACTTAGTATATAACACATTAAAAATTATTAGTATAATCTTAGAACCATATTTGTTAACCTTTTAGGAGGTCTTTAGCTAAACCAAATGACAATGCCCTCAGTACATTTGAAGATCATGACACTTAATCTTTGATCCATATGTTTCAAATCTGTAATATAGCATCTGGGAACTCCTGCATAAGTGTTCCTGCAACACACATTCACATATCTATACCCAAAGGGATAGAACTCTCACAGGATGTTCTCAAATTCAGAAAATGGATGTGATAGGAAATAAAGTGGTTAAACAGAAAGCTTTTCTCAAGCTGTTTATATTAATAGAATTCAGTTTATTTCTTCAACTTTTCATGTTTAAGATACCTATATTATGCTTTTAAACACACTTCTCAGGACATATAACTACTATATTTTTCAAAACACGGAATACAGCACATGTAGAGTACAGCTTTTTAAAAAACTGTAACACATTAAAACCCCATAGCAAAGAGAAAATATTTCAGCTGAGCAACAAAATAAGCCAAAAGGCGAAGGAGAATTAAAAGGTTTTTATTTGCTGGCAAAAATCTCAAAAATCTTTAGTTAAGCATATCTGGGAAAGACCCTGTAAAAAAAGAAACACTTCCTTTTAGTCACTTATTACTTTCAGAACAGTAGTATGCTAGGAGCTCTGACAGCAGACCAATAGGATCTAAATCCAGAGAAGGATATCGTGTGATTAGTTTGTTAGACTGTTCATCAGGGCCAGCAATACAATACAATACAGTGGTACCTCGGGATACGAATGCCTCTACTAATGAACTTTTCAGGTTACAACCAGCTCCGGCCGCAAAAATTTACCTCGATGTGTGAACTCTGCCTCGGGGTAGAGTCATTTTTCCGCCCTGACACGTGGTCCACGGCCATTTTTCTGCCCCTGACACGTGGCCCGCGGCCATTTTCCCGCCCCGCTGCGCGGCGCCCGGCCGTTTTCCTGCCCCTGACGCGTGGTCCGTGGATGCCAGAACGGATTAACGGTAATTACATTGAACCCTATGGGGAAATTTGCGTCGGGGTTCGACCCACCCGGGGGACGCCCAGA